CCGCCGCTGCCCTCAGGGTCGTCAAGAAGCGCGTCCCACATTTTCGCACGCCCCTCCGTGACTTCCGCTAGCGGCCGCCGTCGCCCCTCCTCCCGTTGCCTCAATTGCACCGCCACAACATCCCCCATCAACTCCTCCGCCCGTGCCTGCTTCACCGCGACGCACATCAGCTGCTCCCACTGCAGCCTGCTTTTCTTGAACATGTTGTACTGGTCGTTCAGGAAGGCGGCGAGGCGGGCCTCGCGCCGGCTGATCCCGCAAAACGACGGGGAGTAGAGGTACATCGTGATGCGGGTGCCATCCCACGTCACGTGCGGGTACTTGTCGCTGCCGTAGCAGAAGGCCCAGAAACGGCCCATGAAAAGATACGCATCACGGTACGTGGGGAACACAAACTCCCGCTTGATGGCCTCCTCGCCGATAAAAACAGTCAGCGGCGACAATCCCTCCTCCTTAGACGCGGCAGCATTCGTCTTCGCCGTTACAATCTCTCTAACTGACGGCATTACTGTTCACCACTTGAAACGAGAGCTCCCGTGTAGCCAGTAGCAGCCGTTTAAAGAAAAATTTACACACGGACACAACAACAACAAGAAAAAAAAGGTGAAACCTAAAAGGAAGACGGGGGGCGGGTGGAACTCGGGAGGTGGTGATAGAAGCGGAGGCCCGCCAGCGTTATCCACAAGCAGCACACCATGTCTTTGGGCCTTAGCAGTCAGCCTCGTCTCCCTTCTCCCTCACAAACACGCATATGTAATATACGTCTTGACTACACACACACACACACAGAGAGAGAGAGAGAGGCACACACACATACAGGTGGTACACAGGTGAATAAACTTCAAATGCCACGAAGGCATCCGTCGAGAATAATGCACCATCACTCTCAGAGTGAATTCTGCCCGCCGCTGCCCTCAGGGTCGTCAAGAAGCGCGTCCCACATTTTCGCACGCCCCTCCGTGACTTCCGCTAGCGGCCGCCGTCGCCCCTCCTCCCGTTGCCTCAATTGCACCGCCACAACATCCCCCATCAACTCCTCCGCCCGTGCCTGCTTCACCGCGACGCACATCAGCTGCTCCCACTGCAGCCTGCTTTTCTTGAACATGTTGTACTGGTCGTTCAGGAAGGCGGCGAGGCGGGCCTCGCGCCGGCTGATCCCGCAAAACGACGGGGAGTAGAGGTACATCGTGATGCGGGTGCCATCCCACGTCACGTGCGGGTACTTGTCGCTGCCGTAGCAGAAGGCCCAGAAACGGCCCATGAAAAGATACGCATCACGGTACGTGGGGAACACAAACTCCCGCTTGATGGCCTCCTCGCCGATAAAAACAGTCAGCGGCGACAATCCCTCCTCCTTAGACGCGGCAGCAT